GAACGACTCGGCCATTTTAAGGTTATTAATGTCTTATCGACGTCTCTAACCTATCTTTAGGTCATATGGCACCTACTGCTGCATTCTAATATGATGGGAATGTCAAATTCAAATTTGTCCGGATTTAAGTGGCGGACCCTGTATATGTAACAAATTATTATTATAGATTGTACTTTAAGAATAATATCACGGTATTTGCTGCCGGAAATAATTATATAATTGCTGCTCTCTCATTGCACCGCGCGGTCGCAAGAATCCGGGCAAAATTCTGCTTGTTATTCGTGTGTGCTTGTTTTTACTTTTTTTTCTATTTCGGTATTAGCGTGTTTTTTTTCGTGTGCCGCATTTATATATTATTGTTGTACCAAGCGTGTAAGTTTAAGACACGGAATAATACTTTTTTGTTTCAACTAAAATATTCAAAATAGTTAAGTGCGAATCGTGCCGAAATTCTGGGCCGTCGGACCGCGGCCGTGCGTTAGATCATTGTCCCGTTCGCGCTACATGAAGGGCGCGCGGTGCCCACGCGCCGCGCCGGACGTCTCGCGCGCGGTAGCACATTCCTTTGTAGAGATAACACCGGTGGTCATCTCCGTCTGACCTTGTACCAAAAAATAAGGGCCGCAACGCGAACAAAAGATAGAAGAAAATCGCACCGATTGAATCGACTGCCGACCACGCGTATTTAGCTGTGCCCGATTGTCACGCCGTTGTAATTGTAATATTTTCTATTGTGTTTTTTTGTTTATGCGATACTGTACTGCCGATATTCGGTATTATTGGAAAACTTGTTTTCATTAAAATTCTGTATCTTTTATCCAACGTAAATGAACAAGTTTTTCTGCCATCATTTATTGTACACTGCCTCCTAAGCCCACGCCTTTCCGTTATCTGAATAAACTGAGCTGTGCCGAGTGACCTTACCGTCACGTCAAACTTGTCGGGATTTTTGCTGCCAGTTAAGATTTTTGAGTTGGTGTGATTTTCACGCCTGGCGCCCAACTTTCGACTTTGGTAAGTAAAGAACTTTATTTTTTTTTGGAAAAGACGTGCCAAAGTTGTGCGGCGCCTCCGCTTCTACATATCAAAACGAGGTGCCCGTCACAGTACACATACACACACGAATATTTAGATATATATATTTTTTTACAAAGAAGACACAAATACACACTCAAGACAATCACTCAGATACATCAAAACCAAGAACATCAAACTTGCAGCACACAGGTAATATAGTGATACATATTTCACACATATTTACATATTTCAGTCTCTCTCTCTCTCTCTCTCACTTTTTCTCTCTATTTTTCTACATCTTGACATTTGTTCTCACTTACTTTTATGATCACATACAAAAAAGTTGACTTTTCTTTTAATATACATACTGTGACGTGACGCCTTTTCGGCGCCCGTCACAGTGTAGTTAGCACGGCAAGAGAAGAGGACGGTAGGCTCGCGTCTCTCACGATTTACAGAGAGCGACCTATCTTTGTTGCGTGGTGCACTTAGATGCACCGGTTTCGCGTTGTTGGTGCGTTCTGCACCGACTTTGAGTACCGTGCGCCGAGTACGGGCGCAAGCAAATGTTTCGCGCATATTATTGTGTAACGGCCGTTTTATATTAATATTAATTGCGTTGCGTGAGCCGCAGGGCGGCGTATCATTTTGTGTGTCTGTGGTATTTTGTTTTAGCGGCAAGAGAGAGACACCTTCGGCATCGGCGTTAACCAAGAACAAAGAAGATGGGAAGACAGCTAAGCAGGAGCGTACGACGTGGAGAGCAGAGTGGTGGGGAGCGACCGGTTGTCTTAGAAAGGGGCGGTCGGAGAAGGTACCACCCGGACACTAAAGACGTTGTCGGGATCCGACGAGCGCGTACGACCTGCCAAACCTAGGTGGAGCATCGACCTTGCAAAGCTGCAGAATCTTCTACACGAATTGGGCGGTGAGGGCCCGGCGCGGCTATATAGTCGCCCTTGGAAGGACAACGCGGATCCACGCGTGTGGCGATCAATCACCGCGCCACGCGCGCTCCACCTGATTGGCTACTTAACATACTGCGCGATCTGCCGTACGAAAGAAAATCTATGCGGTAGCGTTTAGCGATCACTGTTGCGCGTATTGTTGCTGAGGCGTGAGCCACCGGGGAAACCTCCTGAAAAGTCTTTCTGCCGCGGTAAAGTGCCGTTTGGAAGCAAGGGTCGGTCACCAGTTACTTGAGGAGGACCCGAAACCGTGATATCCGGTGGAGGAGACGATATAGTTGCCGAGTAAGATCCGAGGCTAGCTGTCGACGCCGAAAAGTGCCGCTAAGTTCCTCACCCCCCGCAACTGCGTGTCGCGTGTTGCTTTTAATGTACCGATCTACCGCTCTGGTGACTCGAATTCCGTTCGTTTAGTATCGCAGATTCGACATGGAGGTAATCGTGACAAGCGTTATCGTGACATGTCAGGTCTGCGACGAGAACTGTGTATTTTGTCGTGTTGATAACACTTTGTAAAGATCGCTCTCTCTCTTT